TGCTCTTTCCCAGGAGAAGACAGAGTGAGTTCCCCCCTTAGGGCTCACCCATACCACCTGGGCTCCCCGCCAGTGCTCTTTCCCAGAGGACCTGCAGCGGGTGCTCGAGGATGTGGACAGTGAGATCCCACTGGTCTTTGTCAGCGGCAACCATGGCATTGGCTTGCGCTCCACCTGGTAGCTGCCAGGTGAGGCCCATGAGCCCTCTTCCCCACCTCCCCACCAGAACGCCGAGTGACCCTTGAGCCATTTCCGTCTCACCTGGCTGACATGCAGACCTGCTCCTCAGCTTACACACACTCCAGTATTTACTGGTCCACGTGCCACAGGAGCATATCTGCCTCTGGGAGGCTTGGCTCAGATGTGAGCCTGGACACATGAGCCAGGCTGTGAGGCACAAATGGCAGCTTGAGTAGCCACAGGCAACCTTGGTCTTGTGTGTCCTCTCTGGCTCCCTGCCCACATGCTCTGAGACCTCCTTCCAGCAGGAGACAGTGGTCTTTTCTTGGCCACTGGCCTCAGCATTGGCACCTAAAGGCCCTGAACCAGGGCCTGCAGTCATCTCCCTCCCTGGCCTTTGTTTAATGGCCTCAGATAGACACCAGGCCCTGGGCAATGTCCCAGAACACCTGACCCATGCTGGTCGCAGCTGTAGTGCAGTTGGGTGACCTTTGTGCCGTGGAAGGACAGGTGGGGATGGGGTGGGAGGGAGGAATGGGAAGAGGGGGGTCTTGGTGGGGCCGTTTGCATCCCACCTTGTGAATGCAGAAACTCGCTCAAGTCACTGGACTTGACATCACTGGAACTCATTTTGGAAAGCCAATGTTAACGTGGGATCTTGTAAACTTGGTAGCCAGAAGGGACATGATCAAGTCAGAGTGCTGCTTCCCCTTGCCTCAGGCCCCCCTTCCAGCCCAGCCCACCCCCAGCAGACCAGTCCCCAGCACTGTTGCAGTCACACCTGTCTCCTGAGCTGAAATGCCAGGGCTCCAAAGCCTTCTGGAAGCTCATCAGAATCTCAGGGTAGCTGTTAATTATGATAATTGTGTTGTCACAAAATAGCCTGGTAAAGAGCCTGTCCCTCCCCAGAGCACCGTGCAGGAAAACCCTGCCTCCTCCCAGCGAATCCAGAGAATAACTCTGAGTCACTGTGTGGGACGAACAAATGATTTCATAATGCACATCAACAGTCAGCTCTCAGTGTTGCATTAATTTTCAAAATAACGGATGAGGGAAACGAGGAGGAGGGGTGTCCCTGTAGCAGGGCCACCTCATGTCAGGGACACACTCTCCAGGCAAGCCCCGCCTGCTTTCCTTAGCACACGTTTCCCTAGAAACAGAAGCGTTCGTTCCAAGTCGGCTTCAGGAGCTCATGAAAAACCTTCTTTGCATGATATAAAAAACATTGTTAGTAGTCGGTGCATATCAACAGGCACCCAGGCCGGGCACATGCTCACATATGGAATCGCACCCATTATCTTCTGGGAGATTGGCAAGTTCATCATGCCCACGTGATGGAGAAACTGGTTTTCCTCTTGGTCCCCCTGACTCCCAGCTGGAGTTGAGCGCACAGAGGGCAGGTAATAAAACCGGGGTGAACCTGGTCGTCGTCTCCATCCTTCCTGCCTTTTCCAGTCTGTGA